ACTGGTCAGATGTGTCATGGACAGGAGCGAGAACGTTAGGAGAGCAAGAAGATCATGAAGAGTGTCCTGTCAGTCCAAATATCTTGAAGGCAACATACTACATTAGTAGCCCAGGTCCAGATAGCGCACCTGGCCACAGGAGCTGAGTACGCCTTGTAGTGCCAACTGCCACTGCTGGGGGGTGAATTTTTAGCAGACCTAAAGTTGCATGAATGTGATTAATGAAGTGAGATAAACAAAAAAAATACAGGGTTCTGATGCTGTAAGGCTATCTCGCTAACCTGAAGCTTTTGTTTTATTTCAATCGCCTGTTGTTAATAATTGAAAAAAAAATTACATCCACTTTTGCTGGAGTCTTTTTTCAGCTTCGGGACTTTTTTTCAGCCAGAACAGAAAAGCTTTGGGATCCAAACGGTCTCGATGCGGTCGTATTGTAACAAGGAGGAAAATAAACCAGAGTCAGGTTCAACTGGACTAAACAAAGGTTTGAAAACACCCTGAGTCCACTCTCAGGTTAAACCTTTGAGTAAAATAAAGTGTCTATATCATCGGTTTATAGATTTTCTGGTCAAGCAGTCTTTTATTTGGTGACATTTGTTCTTGTTTACTGTGTTTTCTTTGCTTTTGAAACTAAAATAACATCAAGGAGGGGCTAACTAATCTGACTGGCTGGTGACAAGAAGGGACAGGGGGGAAAAAGAGAGAAGCACACGGTTTCTCTCTGCTTGCTGCGTCCTGTAGGAAATTTAAAGACTCACAGTGAATGGCTGCCCACAGTGTGATTTTGTGCATTTTGTGTTGGGAGTCAAAGGTCACTGGCTTACCTGTCCTGTAATGACTTCAAGGGTTTAGTTGAAGAAATGAGAGCCAGAGGAGGACAAATGGACTTGTTTCTATTTAAGGGTTTGAATACAGTCAAGGTTGAGGGTTAACACATGAATGTAGGTCAGTGGACTGGCAGTGAGATTATGTGTGCGTGTGTGTGTGTGTGTGTGTGTTTCTAGCCAGGTTTGTACATCCATATGCAAGTGTGTATCTGTGTGTACACGAGTATATATTTGAACGTGTGTGTACTTCTGCTTCTACAGTACGTGTGTGTGTGTGTGTGTGACCTGCTCTTTGTTCCTGTGCTCGGTGCAGTAAGGAGAGTGGACCGTTGACGAGGATTAATGCCCAACATATGGCAACCCTACGGGACACACACACACACACACACACACACACACACACACACACACTCTGCAGTCATTACTCTGAACAAAGAACTGTAAGGCTAATGAGAAGGCGATATCATGTGTCCTTTTCAAACACACACACACATGGCATGGATTCCCGTGGATCCACATACACACCTTAATGTTGCTTATGCATGGATGAATACAGATGAACACACACACACACCTGGTACTGTAACATGTATCCATTGTGAGTGTGTGTATGTGGGAGATGAAAGGTAGCGTGGGGGGGGTTGATGATGGAAAGGCTTTAAGGTTTGAATGCAAACACCTGTGTGTTTGTGTGAGAGAGAGAGAATAGTGTGTCTATTGTACAGGTGTGTGTGTGTGTGTGTGTGTGTGTGTGATTGAAGGAGAGAGAGAAGGAGAGGTTAAGCAGAGTTCAGGGGAAAAGTGAAGGTTCATGTTTTCATTTCTTCATGCTCCTCTGCCTCTTTCTCGCTTGGTGTGTGTGTGTGTGTGTGTGTGTCTTTCTCACGTTCAGAATCACACACCAAAACATTTTCTCTCCACATCTTTTTACACCCACCACCACTTCCAGTGGGATCTGACCGACATACTCAATATGTTCCTCAAAAGCCCAAAAAATCCACTCTATGATTCCTGTATCATTGGATAATAATTCACCCTTCTTTATGCGCCGCACTCCTTGGCCTTAGACCTGCATGTTTGTAGTTCACAATGAAACAGTGACAGATTTATTACTCGAAATTCAAAGTCAACATTGTGTCTATGTGGCTAAAAACGAGCTAATGAACTTGAGTAGACTTGTTTACCCTATTAAACCATTTAAAAAAGTCATGTCTTAAATATGCACTTGATGGCTAATCATGATAACAGGCTGAAGATGCACATCTCGGGCAAAAGGTCATTGTCCTAACCTGTTAATGATCCATGTAGAAGACATAAAGAAGCAGTATTGTTCTTATATCCTTGGTATTACAGATACTTTATGTATGATAAGAGAGAAATGTAAGATCAGACTGTTATTTAGAAATCCCTGTTTTGATGCTTTAAGTTTTCAAGGGGAAACTGCTGTGCAGCAGTTACAGTGCAAAGTATGAAACTGCAAGTATAAAAATATGTGCACGTATCCAAAATGCACACACTGCCAAAATTATACACAAGGTTATTGGTATAATGGTTGGAGAAGAGGCTAACTGATGAGTAACACCATCTCGGGTAACATTGAGTGTAAAATCCAATAAAGAGCACTTTTACACCGAACAAGCCTACAAAAAAAATCTAGTTTAGCTAGCTGGGTTAGCATGACTACTGTAGGTCTTAAGCTAGGCAGCTTGACATGCTTGTGTTAGCAGCTTACATTAGAGCAGACAAACAGCGTTTAATTGATTTATTACAGTTCTATACAGTAGTTGTTTTATATTCTTCTGTTTCATGTCCTATTCTAAGCCATACATTCATTTGGGGGTTCTTCTATTCTACTCTGTCTTCATCCGGTGGCACTGTGGTGATGTCTTGTACAGGTTTTAGTTTTTTGGTCCCCTCTCTTTCTCTCTCTCTCTAGGTGTAAATGACTTTGGATGGCCATCTGTTACTTAGCCACCCTGCAGAGAGTTGGCCTGCATGCGCACCTCCTGTGTGTGTGTGTGTGTGTGTGTGTGTGTGTACCTTTTTTTATGTTTAGTTGCACGTGTGCGGTTACTGAATTCTTGTTTATTTATGCCTACGTGCACATGCATAATACAGTAGGTTATGTATTTGTGTGTGACAGTAATAAAGAGAGAGAGATGCTTGTGTTGTAGAAGTGTATTTAGGCTCACTTGCACATGTACGACATGTATTCATGTGCTTGTGCATGGGTGTGAGACATCAGTGTTAACATATTTAGCCCCAGTCAACACTAATGTGTCTTTTTCCGTCTCTCTCATTTTGTATTTAAACCGATCCTTTGGCAGCAAAGGCCTAAACAACAAGTTATATTGATTGAAAGTGGTATTTAGTTTCCTGCCTGTGGCTTCTTCACAGTAAAAGTCTTCCAGCTGCAAAGACAGTGCACAAGACGGCATTGTTAGCAATTTTAGAAGTCCCCCACAGCAACCAGATATCAGAAAAAAATATGATAAAATCATATTTATATCTTCCCTGTAATTAGTTCAGGAAACCTTTCTAGGAAAGTTTCTGTTTAATGTAAATGCTCCGTATTTGTATAACGCCTTTCTAGTCTTTTACACTACATCTGCATTCACCATTCATTCACTGAGCCTAAGTGCTCAAACAGAAACTAACATTCACACACTGGCGGAACAGCCACCATGAGCAAATTTGGGGTTTAGTATCTTGCCCAAGGACAATTCAACATGTAGCCTGGAGGAGCCGGGGATTGAACCCCCGGCCTTCCGATTAACGGGAATCCCGCTCTACCTCCTGAGCCACAGCCGCCCCGCTGTTCCAACATAAAGGTCTATATGTGTTCCACACTGCCAGGAGTAAAATCCACAATGCAAAGTACTAAATCATTGATTTTAGTTGACCTGAAAGTAATCAAATACATAACTACTAACTAGAAACACTGCAATCAACCTAAAAAAAAACACCAAGCATGTGTAAATCTTTAACTGTATAATGTAAAACCCCAGATTCCCAGAATCTTGCCCTGTTTGTTAAGAGAGCTTTTATTGTGAACCAGCTGGACGCTTTACACAAAATAAAAGCTTGAATAACCAATTAAAGCATTTGGATATTATAGAGTAGTGTTGAAGTTTTTTTGTTTTATCAAATTTTATGTCATCATCACAAAGTCCCAACAAATTTATCACAAATCAAATATTTGTTTCCATATCTTGCATCAGGATTCTTCCTTTCATGTCAAAGCTGATAAAGATGGAGCTCTTTCCGTCTTAACTAAACTGGGAATATTTTAAGACGTGGCAACTCCCGCCGTTTCTGCTGGGTGAAGTACTTTGAGGTGTGAAAATGTCACAGAGAAAAGATGATTTTGCGCTCGTCACTTCATTTCCCCCGGAGACACTGACCATAAGAACGACCAGTCAGGTTTCACGCCAGTGCTTGTTGGATTGTCCTGAAATAAGCCAATCAAGTGTAACCTCACTACACTCCAGTATGGCGGCCAGTGAGAGCGCTCTGTTGAAGCTACTGTGCCCTGTGTGTTGTCAGTTTGTGATTTGATTACGTGTGAGCGACCTGCTGTCTCTGCTGGAATATCTAGCTGTCAGCTTCCTCTGCTGAAGTGATGCTTGACCAACACCACATTTAAAAGATTTTTTAATTAAAAAAGGGGATTTCATGACTGTGGGAAACAGTCAGCTGTAACTTTCACTAGTAAATTGACAGAAAGTGAATCGGTCACAAATGTTATGGTTTTTCATCAAAAGATGATAAAATGTTTATTGTTCACGTTAAAATGCTTAGATTTCTTTTATCATGAAATTTGCAGTTTCAAGAAAATCACTTTCAGCCACAATGAGCACTGAAAATAACAACATTTAAAATAAACACAAGTTAACGTATAGTAAGTATAATGATGATAAACAGACTTAATAAATACATAAAACATTCCTAAAAATGTGAAAATATCAAATCACATTGAATCAGATCAGCTCTGAATCACAGTTCATCTGTATGTGACCGTATGATTGTGGGCCATGTATCTAGAAACTTATCCGATTGTATGAGAGGTATAGGTACAACCAAAGGCAGCAACATCAACAGTTCCTCTGTACTCAACAATGTGAATCTAATTCTGTGTCATAGTAATTAATCTCTCCGTCTCTCCCCCTCCAGCTCTCGTCCAGGCCGTCCTCCAAAGCGCTGTTCTGGTGCAGGGATCCAGGAAAGCCCCAGGCTGCTGCACCCGGGCCTCCCCGGCCTGCTGTCCCCCAACCTGCTGTCACACACCGGTAAGAGAGCGAGTGTGTCATAGTTTCTCTTCATCTCTTTTATACTATTTTATTCCTTCAACTCCTCCCGTTCATTCTCTCTGTGGATTCATACATTCTCTAGTTTATTTAACTGGGGCAATACGGCCAGTTAAATAAACCAGAGAATGTATGCCAGTGTTTAGATGCTCTGATAATGCTAATCCAACACATCTTTGTAGTAGCATCCATGTTGATTGCATGTTCTGACTTAAGAGCACATGAACACACACCAAAGTTGGGAGAGACTTCACAACTCAGTTGGGACCATTTGATGGGACCATTCAAGGAACACGTGAATGAGAGCTGTGCCAGTATCTGTAACTCTCTGGACAACACACATTAATATTAACATTAATATTAGCTCTAACAAATCATAGATGAAATACAGCGTACATATAATCAAAACTGTGTGCGCTGATGAAGAGCTAATATTTTAGGGAGTTGAAGGGATATGGCATAAACCAGAGCCCCAATCACATTTCACATCACCCATAGTCTGTCTGTGTGTGTCTGTGTGTGTGTGTTAATTATCGGGGATGTTGTGTTAATTTTGTGCCCCTCAGTTTGTGGAATGCTGTCTTTATGTATACGAACATGACCAGTGGATCCGTGTGTTGTTGTTTTGTTGCGTGTATTTTGAGACTGGACTCCAACACTTACACCGAGATGCTGTCATGCACATGAGAATAGCTTTACTTGGCTCAGGGAGAGTTTTACAATTAAAATCCAGTCTTCATGGATTAACAAGATTTAAGAGTCTACAGCCGTGCTAGCGGCTAGCGGAACATCAGCATGCTAACAAAGACGATGCTGATGTTCTCCTGGGCTCAGTGAATCCATGCATAACATGTCATGATAATTTATCTCACAGTTGTTGAGATATTTCAGACCACCAACTTCTACATTAAAGGTCTATGGGGAAAAATATTATTCTTGCAGTACCACAGTTGGCCACTAGGCCCACATTAGGCAGCACTGATCCTTTTTCCTTCTCTTACCTTCATTCCTGTTGCCCTTTCATATCCCTTTCTTTTTGTCATTGATTCCCTTTTTCCTCTCCTTCCTCATTTTATCTTCCTCTGAATCTCAAAAACATCCCTCCATTTCTTCTCCCTTTCCTTGTTTTATCCCTCCTTCTTCCTTACACATAACCCCTCCATCTCACCGTTTCTGCATCCGTCTTTTTCCCTTCTGCTGCACTTTTTTCTTCTACGTCTTTTCATCCCTCTTTCCCTCCTCCACCAGATTCCTCCATTCCCTCCTTTCATCCATCCATCTCTCCCGCCTTCTCTCTTCTCACTTTCCGATTTTGTCTCCTATGCTTCCATGCCTCCATTCTGCTATCCCTTCCTCCTAATCTTCTCTTTCTTTACAACCTTCTCCTCAGCCTCTCCTATCCATCTCTTTTTGTTTCCATCCACACCTTTTTCTTTTCGGCACTGATAGTGAAAATGGACAGAAAGAAAAAGCTGTGAGAGCGACGGAGAGCGAAAAAATGGAGGGAAGAAAGAGGGATGTCGCCAGAGGAGATGATGAAACCTAAAAACGACTGCCAAAGAGAAAGGGAGGGAGAACGGGACATACAGAGCAAGAGATGGTGGGAAGAAAAGAGAGACGGATTGTTTAGGAGTTGACAGCAAACGAGTGGAAGGAGGGAAGGAAAGCTAAAAAAGATAAACATTATCTAGAAGTCTGACAGGGATACAAGAGAATAAATGAAGGAAGGGAAAGAAAGGAAGAAGAGAAAAAGACCTGCAGAAAGAGAGAGAGAGCGGGTGAACGAGTGCAGACTGCATGGTGGTGTGATGAATGACACGTCTCTGGGGTCCCACTCCTCCATCTGTCCATCCCTACCTCTTCTTTCCCTCCCTCTTTTCTTCCCTCCTTCTTTCTCAACTCATCTCCCGCCCTTATTTCTGCACTCTGTCATCCCTACTTCACTATCTCCTTTTTCATTTCTCCCTCTCTCTCCTTCCTTCCATATTCTCTCCTTTATTTCAGCCGTCTCCCTCTACCATTGTGTCATTCCTATACTTCTATACTTTCTCCATTTCCTCTCTTTCCTGTCGCCCTCCTTCTTTCCCTTTACTGCTCTCGTTGCTCTTCTTCCTCTCTCTTCTTCCTTGACTCAACTTCCTTCTTTTCTCTGACCTGTCCTTATTTCAGTACGTTCTCCCTTCCTTTTGTCCTCTCCTTCATTCCTTCTTTCTTTCATCTCACCTTCCACAATCCCTCATAATTTTCTCTCCCTCATTTTTATCTCCCTTTCCTTTTTTTCCTGTTCTGGTACTCCCTCCTTCTGACTTTCCTCCCTCCACCCTTTCCTTATCTCCTTCCGTATCATTTCTTCCTCCCATTTTCCCTCGTTTCAACCTTAACTTCACACCTGCTATCTTGCTGCTCTTCTCTTCTCTTCTGCTCCCCTCCTCTTTGTCCTTCTATCCTCCTTCCATCCTACTTAGGCCACTCTTTACCTTCCTTTCTCTCCTTCATCTTCTCTGTTTTTGCTTATCTCATCCTTTCATATTTCACTTGCCATCTCAGTCACTCTTCCAGCTCTTCTTCATCTCAACCTTCACATCTCCTTCTCACCTTACTCATTCCTGCAAATCTTTAACCAATTTCCTTTTTCTTCCATTTTCACCTCTCCTCCATCCATCCTTCTCTCTGTCCCCCTTGACAGTGACTGTTGGCCTTCTTCTTCTCTCTCCCCCTCTCTCTCCAGGATAAATAAAACATGGTTGTATTTAGTGACATATGGACACAGCTCACTGTGGCATACTAATGACACACACACACACACACACACACACACACACACACACACACACACACACACACACACACACCAGGTACGTGTGTGCAGAAGTGTGTGTATGTTTGTCGAACATTAGTGGAACCCAGAGAAAACATTTGCTCACTTATGATCGCTCATTAGCTCTTTCTCACACACACACACAGCATATATATACACAACGCACACACAGACTTGGCAGTCGTCGCATGTCGCATTTTGCCTCAGTCACACACATACACACACACACGCAGAGTTGGTCGTCTTAGCGGCCCTGCGTCCATGGAGACACCACGTTGCCGGGGGAGACGGGCTGTTGTTTACGACCTCGCGGGCGCCACGCCGATGGGGGGCATCGGCCAATCACAGATGGACATTTATCACACTGTTAGAAAACACAAGTGTGAGAGGAGAAGGAGGAGAGAGAGTTTGGAGAAAACAGTGGGATGAGAGGAAATGATGAGGAGGGAAGGATGAATAGATGAGGAGTAAAAAGACAGAAAGAAGAGGAGGAGGGAGGTCGTCAAAAGGCAGGAGAAGGGAGACATTTGGATAAAGAAGAGATGGAAGAAGAAAAAGTGAAGGAAGAGGAACAAGAGGTTAAAAAATGTAAGATGAAGAAAGTAAAGGAGGTGAATGGAAAGACAAATGGATGATGGAGCAGAGGGAGGAGAAAGAAGAAGAAGAAACAGGCAAAAAGAGGGTGAAAAAGAAAGATGAGAGAGAAAGGGAGGAGGCATAAACGACAACAAGAGAGTGATATCAGTTTAATTGGCCTCATCTTCCTTAACAAAGAAGCTGTGATGATAAGCGTGGGAGTGTGTGTTTGTGTGTGTGTGGTAACCTATGCAGGGTTCTGCGGCACTCATTTGACTTGTTAATTCACTTCAAAAACAGCTCAATGGTTCGCCTTGTCTTTTAACACACACACACACACACACACACACACACACAGCTACAAACACTTTGTAGGTTTATTTAGGTGTCTCTGTATTCAAACACTTAACACACACACACACACACACACACTTCTTACAAAACACTTTGCACATGCACACTGTCACACTGCATAGACGCATGTTTTTGCAGAGACACAAACATCAACACATCTGGCGCACATACACTTTAAAACACAAACACACACAGAGACAAGTACTCTGTGTAGGTTACAGATGAAGTGCTTTCAATCTTGTCATGAAAAGAATACACTCATCTGAGGACTCTTATGTGCACCTGCAGAGAGAGAGGGTGGTAGATCGAGGGAGCGATGAAGGAGGAGGAGTGGAAAGCGAGAAGAGAGAGACTGGGGGAGGGAGGAAGGACGGCTGAAGAGGACTAAAGTGACATTAAGTCTTTTTCATCTCTCCTCCTCCTGCATCGTGTTTCCCCCCCCTTTTTTTTACTCTATTCGAGGCCTACACACACACACACACACACACACACACACACACACACACACACACACACACACACACACACACACACACACACACCATGAACAGTGATGTGTGGCTGCTAGCGCCCACTACTGGTGAGCAAACCATCAGTAATTAGACAGAAGAGGGAAAATCTGCTCTAAAATGGGTAATAAAAGCAGGTTTCTAGTGTATTTTCCTCTGCTCTAAAACACAGCAAATGACACGTCAAACTAAAACAAAAAAGGACTAAATAAACAGCATAACTCTCGAAGATTAGTTTAATTGAATGATCCCTTGCCCATAAACCACTAAAAGTGTGAAGTTCTGCCAGAACAAAATCAATGAGGTTATAAACTATAATAACCTGCAGTGCACTTCATTACAATAAAGCACTCTGAACCACTTGTTTTTACCAGCCTGCAACTAATTACTGCTAATAAAAGAGGGGTGAGGAGGTATTTTGTTAAAAAATGTGATGTCCACCAATTTGGTGATTTGTAGACTGAACACAACTCACAGTACAAACAAAAACCAACAGCACATTCTCAGTCCACCATGTTTCAGACATGAAGGAACAATAAACTTGTTTTTTTTCCTCAAAATGACAATACAGTGTCATGAAAAACAAACTTTCCATGGCTTGACCTTTCAGTTTTTTCTTTTCAAAGTCAATATACAGCACTGACCTTCATTACTGACTTAAACCGCTAACCATTGGCTTTTAATAGGTAATAGTGTCTACAATAAAACATCGGGATAGGACGGTG